GAAATCTTCAAAAATTTCAGAGTGACAGTTCTTCTTCACCAGATGAGGTTGTGGGAAGGACCAACCCTAGTATACTGATACCGACAGACGAAAGGTCTACAACAGATCTTACGAGTATTGATGAACAAGACGAGGATGACTACGAAAGTTATGAGGACGAGAATGAGCAGGAACAGGAAGATGATCGTGACAAAGATGAAGGAGGAGAAGAAGTGGAAGATGAAGATAGCACAGTGCCTTCGGTAACAGAAGAAGGAAAAGAAGGGGAGGAAGGCAAGGATAGCACTACGACTTCGACAACTATCTCAACAGAGGTATCTTCTGCGGAGACCGACGCATTTGAAACAACGAACGAAGACGGTGAAGATACGACGCCAACAGCAACCTCAACCCTAGCAGGGCTAGAGAGCACCTTGACAACAATGAATGAGGTGGGTCGAAATCAGTTGATTGGTAATTCGTTCAGAAGTCAGTAATGAATTGGTTGCAGGCATCAACTAAGAACACTCCGCCGACAACATCACGACCTTGCTTCGATAAAATCAACCCAAATACCGGTAGATCTGATTGTCCTTTCCGAAGAAATTTGTGTATGGAGTCGAGGTAAGCAAAGAGATTTCAAGCAATAGCACTCACAAGGGAGGTCGTTCAGGGTGTGCCAAGCTTTTTCAAAATGGTTTCTTGCATGACATTGGGGCACATATGGGGACCACAGAAGCATGGTTCATTTTTCCTGAACGGCCCTCTGAATACCAGAAAAGGGGTCCCTAGTTCGATTCCTCGTGGTGACAAATTTTTGCATTTCGAGTTGACGTTTCAAAATTCGCGCAAAATGGAGTTAGCATGAATAATTAGTACCAAATTCATGATTAGGAACGTCAGTAACCCTTACAAATAGACTTTGATTGAAAAACTGGTGAAAAAGGTGTGACTAGGGACCCCCTTTTCTGGTATTCAGAGGGCCGTTCAGGAAAAATTAACCATGGTTCTGTGGTTCCCGCATGTGCCTCTATATCATGCAAAAGACCGTTTTGAAAAAGCTTGGCACACCCTGAAAGACCTTCCTGTCAGTGTGAAGTGAGAGCTAGTGCTCATTTAGTGGTTCCTTATTTAGTACCTCGTTTTGTTGTATTCCAGATATATACAGCTTATGCGAGAACAATGCCCTCGTACATGCGGTTTCTGTGGCTTAAGAAGAGTCCAAAAAGCAGAACCTGGTGTTAGTTGTTCGATCTCACACACTCCACGCGACATCTTCAGAAGTTTTAAACTTTCAGATCGATGCATGCAACGACTTGATCAACCCTCGAACAGGACGTTCCGATTGCCCGAATCGTCGGCCGCTTTGCAGGAACAATGTCTATCAAAAATTGATGACGGAGCAGTGTCCTCGCACTTGTGGATTTTGCAATACAAGATTTATCAGGGCCACACAGACTCAAAAGGGTGGGTATAAGAACACTTCCCCCAACGTACTGATGATTGCTGAAAGTACCCTAACTCCACACCTAGAGACATCTAGAGACGACCGCAATCGGCCCATAGGGGCAATTTTTACCCGAAATCGGTGTAAACTTCTGTATAGGGGTTATTTGGTGGCCTGATTACGAATATGACATTCGTTTTTGGCCGTTGTTCAACGCATATTCTCGGTTGGAGAGCGCAGACGAGCAGAAAATAGGCGCCAAATAGCGCCAGCGCCGAGAATGAATGTCATATTCGTGAACCCATACACTTACCTACCGAAAATTAGTGTACTTCTCAGCGAATATTCTTACAAATACTCGAATCACGCCCATTCGTCCACATCTGTCTCGTATCTATTTTAGACTGTGCGGATTCGTTACCAAGCGTCGTGTGTCTTACCAGGCTAAGATTCTGCCAGGACAACGACACACATATAAGGCGGCAAATGGAAGCACAATGTGCGCTAACCTGCAAAATGTGCTTAGCCAACAATGCTCTCCCTTAAATGTTCATGACCATACTTTTCAGCTATTTATGAAATATCTTGGAAATAAATATTACTTTTTCGATGCTCTACTCTAATAAACGCAACCGTTTCAAAAGTGACAAGCCCTGGCGTGACCAATTCTTCACATTTGGACATTACCTTTCAACCCCGTATCCTTTAACATATTGTATTGGATCTTGAAGAAAGTTGTTACGGTTTTTGATCCTGAATTTCAAAAACATGTATCCCAGCTTTTCTCCGCCAATGAGATCTTGATGAGATGAGAGGTCTCGCTCAATCAGTCCGTATTCAGAAAGCTGGAACTGTGGAGGCGGTGAACTTGGCGCATGCATTATAGCTTCAGCATCATGTTGGGTTCCAACTTTCTCTCTAGAAGAGCTATCCAGGTTATCGACAAAGTGATACTCGATAGTCCATTGAAAAGTCCATTGAGTAAGATGATAGCGATTAATCTGTAGGCCAAGTGATTCAACTCGTGCAGGGATGTTTGTGCGCTAGAACCATCTGTCAAGAATGAGATGATCTTTCTATGATGAGGAATGCTGGACAAATTGTTTGGAGTTCAAGGTGTAATTGTGATATATAGTCATGAATGCTTTCCCAATCCATGACTTACACCTGGATGCGAAGAGCTAGGCCAATCGCTCACATTATAACGTAACTTTCCTAGTGCAGTTCTATACGAAGTTATACGATTGAAGAGCTGGAGTTATAGTGAACCATTTTTAGCAAGTTTTCTATGCTGGTCTTGACTCGTTTCATAAAACGCGGGACACTTCAAGATATGGTTCGTTAGCACGCTCATCGAATTTCTTTTAAGCTTTCTAGCTCTTTCCGTAGAAGTGGAAACAGTTAGAGCAGCCCCCTCAATTGTTCGTGCAGGTATGCTTCATCCAAAACTATATTCGTTGGCAACGTCCGATTTCCGAGCACCACCCTCAAGACTCTCGTTGTCGTTACAAGATCTTATTGAACAACTGCTCTCCCAGTGCGAAACTGAGCCAAGTGCATCTTGAATATCGTGACCTCTTTCGCTCCATCCGCCCCTATTTTGAGCTGGTGAAAGAAGAAAGCGTAATTTCTACTAGAAATCCCGAGCCTTGTCTTTGCCTTTGAAAAAGTGACAAAAATGCTTCAAAACAAAGCGACTCAAAGTAGACAGAGCGAGAAAAGTTCTTCAAAATGACATGTATAACGATGGCAGCTCTCTAAAAAGTCAAAAGCAATCGAAACATTCAAACGGAGCATCGAAAAGCGCAAGAGCTTTCTTCCCGACTGTTAGTGTGTGTTTGTGATGGCATACCAATCAAGCTAAATTTTTCTGGCATGGTACTGGCTAGCGTGGTAAACCAGAGAGTAGTCCGGAGAGCCTCTATTTCAGCCACAGCCTGGTTCTTTTCGAAGCTTCTACATGTGCTTCATCTCACGAACCTTTGCCCAAATCGTCTCATACAGATTCAATCATCACTCAGAATTGTATTTCATGACTGCTATATTGTACTACATCACAGTGAAAATAACAGTGCATTATATCGGAAGGAAAGATCGAAGATGCGAGGCGGACCACCAGCGAAGAATAAAGGATAAAGGATAAAGCATTTGCCGTTGATCAATCCCTTTTTGGGATGCGGCACGCATTCTACTTCCATTTGTACATTCGTAGTGGCGTTTGAATGCGATGTGGCCTATACAATGACTTGCGGGGGCCAGCCGATGTACAAGTCAGTGTTTTTATCCTCCCAGACAAGTCTGGTACCAATTAACCGACCCCGGAGGGATGGAAGGCTTGGTTGGCCCGGGCGACTCACGACCCAGGATTTGATCCCCGGACCGCTCGCGTGGTAAGCGTGCCACTTGCCACTACACCACTTCCGCCCTCTTCGTAAAAAAGAAAGAAAATTGCGTAAGCAAAAAAAGAATGCTTACTGCTTAAGGGTGGAGGAGGCTTAGTGCGAAGAGGAAAGGTTATAAAAGATTCATTAGTGAAGAGACAGAGTGGACGGCGAGACCCAGACTCAAACGCATTTGAAACCAGGGTCGGTCCTATCGTTGTTACTTTCTGAAAAATTTTTACGACCCCCCTCCCCCAAGGTGGATTTGATACGACCCCCTTTTCGACACCTCGACCACCATCATCGTCTCTATAGTACTTAATTCTGATACCACTCAACCCACCAAACTCCGCCCACTTTTTCCTCCAAAAATGCCGTCGAGCGGGGGGTATATAGTCACTCTGAAACGGTAAATATCTCCAGAATTTCCTTCTACTTCCACCATTTTAAAACCACTTTTACTTCAATCTTAGTTTCACCTCAATCCCACACGTGATTTCGAGCGACTAAAGTGGGTACGACCCCCCCTCAAGCTAACCAAGTACGACCCCCCCGTTGGCTTGTACCAACGTAGGGTTAACCCTGTTTGAAACGCGATGTGTATGCATTAGAGTATTACTTGTGCATCGACTCTTCAAGGTGCTCATGTGCTGATTCGAGCTCTACACTGTGGACCAGCTACTCCATTAGCTTTCCATCTCAAGGTCTTCTGAGATTCCTCATTTAGGTATTATACTATTCAAATAGAGTACTACCATAAGTATTGGTGCGGCCGCAATGCCGGCGACTTTAGCGTTGTTCCTAACCAGAGAAAGCAGTAACGTTTTACATGGAACTGGATTAAGACCATATGTGATGATGGATAGAGTTCTCTATGCTGATACGGAAATGGGAATCCAAACTGCAAAATGGACATGCAAGGAGTGCGTGAGCATTCCAATCTCGTCTGCAAGCATAACTTCGGTGGGTATGAGCTATACGAACTTAGAGCTTTAACCCTTTCGGACCTGAATTTTTCCCCGTGGAGAAATTTTTCTTCTAGCTATTGTTTATTACTTGTGAGCATATAGGTATCATTATGGCGAAATTTGGAAGCTATTCGATCACAAACAAAGAAACTAAGAAGCTTTGAAAATTGGCCCACCTTCTTAGTTTTTAAGCTTATGTCGAAACAATTCGAAATTTCATAGTTATGCCGAAAAGTTTATAATCTTGCATAACATTATAACCCATAATTTTGATTTAGGAATGGATCTACTTCAAGTATTTTAAGAAAAAGTCACACTTACTTGGCCGGTTGCGGGGTCAGCGTCGATTCATTGTTGCACTTGTACACAAATACTTGTAATACTAACAGCAACACACAATGAAATGGCAGGTTAGCTCATAATTAGGAAGGGGAAGGTTGACTGAAGCAACCTCTAGCAGGATTAGAAAAACCATGCTGTTTCAGCGGCAATGCAAGCGTTTGAATTTGGTGGTGGCAATTGCCACCGCCAGGGCCGAAAGGGTTAAAAATCGTGGTGGGGTAGCAGAAACCGGACTCTCGTCTTCAGCAGGGCAGATCGTGATTTCTCTCCCGTTCTGTGCAAATTCGAGAATGTTACCACTACTCCACGGCGGTTTCAAAGAATCGGACGCTGGTGCAGTTCACATGCTACGCTTTAATTCCCGCTATATTTGACTGTTCACGACTTCTTTGGCAGGTCCATTTTGCAGTTTCGGTTCCGTATTCGTAATCAATGTTAGAAACTCTATCTATCTATATGGGCCTTGATTCAAAATTCCATGGGAACACGGTAAACCCTATGTTGCCACAAGTAGCAATGGGGGGGGGTCGTACTTGGATGGACCCGGAGGGGGGTCGTACTCTCTCGGTGGCCGGCAGTGGGATTTGTGGTAATCTCCCTACTGATCATAACCATGTTTCAGGAAGAGCATGAGAAAGGAAGACTTGCAGAAACAGCAGCTGCAAGACATGTAGCATCGTTCAAAAAAGTGCTCCCACCATGACATGGGTCCACCCACGAAACCACATTTGAAACTAAAGTGTAGCTGGAGTATTGCCTAAGACAACATGGACAATAGTCACCACATTACGTTTACGCAAGATAATTGATGCTAGAGCATCTGTAAGCCGCTTCCTTCTGAATGAGCTTTCAAATCAGCTAATCAGAAGCGCGACCGAGGCGTGGCGCACACCAAGGCAGGGGATATCAGTGCAAGCGCATGCACAAAGCATTCTAACACATCCTATGGTCAACACGATATTGTTTTCCCTGGAGGTTGCGGCCAGTGAAACCTAAAAAACCGCTTTTTAAGAGAATGGCTTGGAGAATGCCCTCCAAAAATGTAGCAACGGGACTAATTTTTGAACTACTGACTTTTAAGAAACTTTTGGGTAGTTTTTAGAAAGCCGTAGTTTCTCATTCTGGTTCAGCTTCCCAAATAAGTGAGTTTGAAGGAAGTAATGACCGTTTAAAGGAAGCGATTACGATAGATTTCACAGGGGTTTTTAGAGTGGACGTGAGGGTCTCAGTAATACGCCAATGGCGAAAAAAGCAAAGAAATCCGTCAAAAATAAGCAGAATAACACCTCTTTGATTGCCCTTTCATTTTCGACCATGGATGAGCGACGGTGAAGAACGACGTTGTTCGGACGTGTTAACCCCGATAGCCGCCATCATGCCAACAAGCATAGTGTACTGATTGATAAGGCAATACGTGGGCAAGTTGGAAGATACAGCCGCTAGAAGGGAAATGATCATCCAAAATGAAAAGCCAACAGCAAACAGTCCATCCAGATCATCAACAAAACTAGTGGGCGTCACGTCACATAGGGCGGGGCGTCGCACGGGTCCTGCTCAGCAACCACAGCACCTTCCGCCGTGGGAGGGCCACACATCTCTTCCTTGGCGGCCAAGTAATTGCTCCGTGTGACGCAGGGTCTTCCCCTGATGGGAAAATTCCTTTGCGTAATTGCTTCCGTTTAAAGGTTGAAAAGTCGCATTTGCACAGAAAAAAGTAACAACGTGCTAAATTTTTATTAAATTAACTTTCGAAGAATTTTTACCCATGTTGGAGAGAGAATAATTTGAATTTTTCAAATCAAATCACTTCGGCGCAAAAGCTCGAATATGAAGGAAAGTTATAGCCCTAAAAGAGGAAGGTGAAAATTGTAGTGCAAATTCATTTCTTGCTCAATAACTTAATCATTTCAGATTGTTTAAGAACAAATCCGCTCTACTTAAGAAGGATGACCGTCGGTGATCCAGAATCCACCTCCGTCTTCCGAGGAACCTGAAATTTTACAAGGAAAAATTCCTCTACTTCTCAATTTCCCCTTTCGACACCTGTTCCCATTCAACAAACGCGCCCCATTGCAGTCACCGAGGGCGCGATCCACCACATTCAAAACCTGTCAATCCTTTAGCCCTCAGCCATGAGGTCCGCGTCACAAATGACTTTATGTCCAAATTCCATGCGTACGCTGTTTTTCGGAACGGTAACTCGTCTTTTATGAAATTTGAATCCGAAATTCAGCATTCTTGTCTAAAAAAGTTCTGTATTTATACGATTATTATTGTTTAAGTAATCTTATCACCACTTTGAGCTACACACAGGGGGGTCGTACAATCGCTGAGCGAATGACAAGCCAAAGTGGAACAGCAGGTCTAATTTAGTCGGTCCTGCAATAGCCCATTGCTTTGCTTATTTGCGCTGTGGAAACCTATCTCCCTCATCGAGTGCATTACGAGGAGCCACCAATGGCTTCTCTTTTTTTCAACCCAGTTGATTTTCTATAGACGTTTGGCTACGTTCAGTATCTTCGGAGGTCTTCACCTTGCTTGTCAAAGAAGAGACGCTGGGAAACATCTACCAAGGAAGGCATTGCACTTCTCAGGCAGGGTCGGTCCTATTGTTGCTACTACTTTTTGGATTTTTTCTACGACCCCCCCCCCTTCATGGGCGATTTGGTACGACCCCCCCCTGTGTGTAGCTCAAGTGGTGATAAGATCACTTAAACAATAATAATCATATGAATAGAACTTTCTTTAGACAAGAATGCCTGAAAATTCTCGGATCAAATTTCATAAAAGACGAAGTTACCGTTCCGAAAAACAGCGTACGCATGGAATTTGGACATAAAGTCATTTGTGACGCGGACCTCATGGCTGAGGGCTAAAGGATTGACAGGTTTTGAATGTGGTGGATCGCGCCCTCGGTGACTGCAATGGGGCGCGTTTGTTGAATGGGAACAGGTGTCGAAAGGGGAAATTGAGAAGTAGAGGAATTTTTCCTTGTAAAATTTCAGGTTCCTCGGAAGACGGAGGTGGATTCTGGATCACCGACGGTCATCCTTCTTAAGTAGAGCGGATTTGTTCTTAAACAATCTGAAATAATTAAGTTATTGAGCAAGAAATGAATTTGCACTACAATTTTCCATCCTCTTTTAGGGCTATAACTTTCTTCATATTCGAGCTTTTTGCGCCGGGAGTTATTTGATTTAAAAAATTCTCTCTCCAATCATGGCTGAAAATTCATCGAAAGCTAATTTAGTAAAAATTTAGCACGTTGGAACTTTTTTCTGTGCAAATGCGACTTTTCAACCTTTAAACGATCATAACTTCCTTCAAACTCATTTATTTGGGAAGCTGAACCCGGTATGAGAAACTACAGGATTCAAGCTTTCTAAAAAGTACCCAAACGTTTCTTCAAAGTCAGTAGTTCAAAAATTAGTCCCTTGCTACATTTTTTTGGATAGGCATTTCAAGCCATTTCTCTTAGAAAAAGCGGGTTTTTTAGGTTTCACTGGCCGCAACCTCCTCCAGGGAAAACAATATCGTGTTGACCATAGGATGTGTTAGAATGCTTTGTGCATGCGCTTGCACTGATATCCCCTGCCTTGGTGTGCGCCACGCCTCGGTCGCGCTTCTGATTCGCTGATTCATTTGAAAGCTCATTCAGAAGGAAGCGGCTTACAGATGCTCTAGCATCAATTATCTTGCGTAAACGTAATGTGGTGACTATTGTCCATGTTGTCTTAGGCAATACTCCAGCTACACTTTAGTTTCAAATGTGGTTTCGTGGGTGGACCCATGTCATGGTGGGAGCACTTTTTGAACGATGCTACATGTCTTGCAGCTGCTGTTTCTGCAAGTCTTCCTTTCTCATGCTCTTCCTGAAACATGGTTATGATCAGTAGGGAGATTACCACAAATCCCACTGCCGGCCACCGAGAGAGTACGACCCCCCCTCCGGGTCCATCCAAGTACGACCCCCCCCCCGTTGCTACTTGTAGCAACATAGGGTTGACCTGTTCCATGGAATTTTGAATCAAGGCCCATATA